TGCCCACCGATTCTACATCGCTGCCTGTTTAGCCCCGCCCACCGATTATATATCACTTCCTGTTTAGCCCCGCCCACCGATAATATATCACTGCCTGCTTAGTCCCGCCCACCAATTCGCACATGTATTGTTTACGCAGGTCTACGTAGAAACCAAATTATAAAGATGCTCTGAAGACAACAAGATTCTGTGCAGTGCCAAGTTGTGGAAAAACAGTCTTTGCATCGCTTTCCTTCAGAAGTTCCCAGATGAAAAAAACATACACTTCCATAATGTACTTAAAGTGCTCTATTTTCACGCACTAATTTTGTACTTAATATACTAAAAATGATCACTTAATACACCAAAAATGATTCTTTAGATAAACTTAAGAACATCTAAGTGTACTCAACTGTGATATTTTGGGACACTGTGAATATGAACTAAAATGTGCTTTTAACATACTATCTCTGTATTTAAAAATGTATTTAGTTACCACGTGTATAAAAGATGAGTTCAAGCGTACTACAAGTGGTAACTAAATAAATTTTTTAAATACAGAGATAGTATGTTAAAAGTGCATTTTAGTTCATATTCATGGTATCCCAAAATAGCACAGTTGAGTACACTTAGTTGATCTTAAAGGGTTAGTTCGCCCAAAAATGAAAATTCTGTCATTAATTACTCACTCTCATGTCATTCCAAACCTGCAAGACCTCCGTTCATCTTCGGAACATAAATTAAGATATTTTTGATTAATTCCGAGAGCTCTCTGACCCTCCCATAGACAGCAAGGGTCCTTACACGATCAAGGTCCAGAAACAAAGCAAGGAGATCCGTAAAATAATCCATGTGATATCAGGGGTTCAACCGTAATTTTACGAAGCTACGAGAATACTTTTTGTGCGCAAAAGAAAACGAAAATAACAACTTTTCAATAACAACAACAATTCGTCTCCTCTGTGTCACCCTGGTGCCATTTTGGAGAATATCCACTGAAAGTAAACAGTTGTTTTCGTTCAGATCAAAGTGCAAACAACGTAGAAAACGCATCTGCGTGGCGCAGCTGACACAGAACAGCATACTCGGTTTACGAGTAGCACTTTAAGTACATTATGGAAGTGCACTTTTTTTTCACTTGGGTTCAGCTGACGACGAATGGACGGATCTGGAGTCTCTTACCACAGTTCCACTCGTCTGAGCTGTCAGAGCAGTGTCTCCTGCCGTCACACCACAGCAAGCGGTGAACACACTGATGATTGTTACACTCCATCTCATGATTGCTACACACAGCTAAAAACACAAACACACACATGAGTGCGTACACACACCAGCACCGCTAAACTCTCTCTCTCTCTGTGTGTGTGTGTGTGTGTGTGTGTGTCATTCACTCACAGCAGTTCTTCTCGTCCTCCTGCTGGCTGCAGTCAGGAAAGCCGTCACAGATCATGTTGTGATGGATGCAGGTTTTGTCTCCGGGACATTCCCACAAGCCCCGCTCCACACACCCTAGTGGCAGACACACACAGGAAACACTGGGTATATTTGTGAGCGGGATAATGCTACCCATCACGTCACGTGAGTGTGTTTTACTCACCGCATGTTTCCTCGTCGCTGTCATCATCACAGTCCATGTGTCCATCACAGCGTTTGGATGAGAGGACACACCTTCCCGAGCGACACTTAAAGTGACTGGGTGAGCACTCTGAAACACATACACACACACACGATCACCTTACCCTCATGGGAAACTGGGGAAGCTTTTATGTCTTGTTTTCAGGATACTGCATGATCATCAAATCATTGAAATGTATTGATCTGAACAATGATTGTCTCCTGTTGAGCTGCTTTACAGCTATGTTAGTTTCATAATTGATGCACTGTTATTTTCCTGTTTATTACTGTGGAGCTGTTTTGGAATAATCTGTTTTGTATAAAGCGCTACAGAAACAGATATGTTGACTTGACGTGCATTTGTCCTGCACTATATGGACAAAAGTATTGGGTCACACTTGGGTTTCAATAGGTGCTTTCACACCGCGTAGTTCTAGGAACTTAGTTCTAGGAACTAGCCAGCAGGGTTGTTCCTAGAGAACCAATTTCTCCCTCGGGCCATTTTCCTGGTTGCTTTCGCACCGGCAGCAGGAACTCTGAAGCCGCTAATCCCTTTATTCGCGGGATTTACAAACATCATCAACCGGTGAATGGAGGATGCCGTGTTCAGAGCTGTTTTTGTTGCGTGTCCTGAGTTTCGTGATAATGGAGATGTTATGTAAACGCATAGTTTACGCGATTGAAAGAGCAAGAAAATCTGACTAAATGGTGGAGCTTCATGAATAGGTTTCAATGGCCAAGCAGCTTCATGCAGTCTCACATTAACCAGTGCAATGCCGAGCGTGGGATGGAGTGTGTAAAGCACATAGATACTGGACTCTGGAGCAGCAGAAACCTGTTCTGTGCAGCGACCAATCTTCAGCATACCAAGACATTTTGGACAATGCTGTGCTTCCAGCATCAGTGCCTGTCTTTCTCCTTCCATTCATAGCGAAAACCCTCAATCATTGTTTCTTTCACAGAACAACAAACTGGACACTAACCAGTCAGGTTTCAGGAGTGGCCATTCCACTGAGACTGCGATACTGTCAGTCATTGCAAAAGCTGATTCCAAATCATCAGTTCTTATTCTGCTGGATCTATCTGCCACTTTTGACACTGGGTGGAATGATCTTCCCACCCCTATCCGGAATGCTGAATCCTTGGCAATTTTCAAACGACAGCTAAAAACTAATCTATTTTGTCACAATCTGACTTTGTCTTCTCTTTCCTTTATTCTTTCCCTGTCCAGCTTATTTGAACAATGCCTGAAACTTCTGGTGTCTTTTTGCCTCTTTAAGAAGAATTGCTTGATGTATTCCCCAACTGTAAATCTTTGGATAAAAGACTTACAGACTTACAGTTCCCCAACTGTTGCTTTGGATAAAAGCGTCTGCAAAATGAATAAATGTAAATGTAGATGTATGAATGGGCAAACATTACCACAGAAACACTCCAAAATCATGTGGAAAGCCCTCCCAGAAGAGTGAAAGCTGTTAGCTGTTAATGGGGACCAACTCCATATTGATGTCTATGTATTTAGAATGAGATGTCATTAATGTCCCTGCTGGTGTAAAGATCAGGAGTCCCAATACTTTTGTGCATATAGTGTATCTGTGGATCTTCTATCAGGCAATAGAACTGCAAGGTTAAAAACAAATGACATTTGGTACATTGATAGGGAAGATCTTAACATTTCTGCTGGTTTTGTGCCTCCAGCACCACCAAGAGTTCAGATATAAGATAGCTTGTTCAAATGTAAATATTAGCTTGACTGCACACTGACCGTTCACATCCGGGTCAGGAAGCAAACAGGAACTATTTGCTTGACCTTCCTCTGGAAACTGAGCGCAGTCTGTATCCTCAGGCCACTGCAATCCCACAATTCCCAGCACTGATTCACATCGTTCCTTAGAATTCCTGCACAAAGACCTAATACACACGCACAGTCATGAATGTCTATTATATATAAAATTATAAAGGCCCATACACACACAGACACAGACTGACCTGCAGGGTGGCACTCTCTGCTGCGTTACAGGGTCACACATGGGCACAAGCACCGTACATGCAAAGAACATAAGATATTTGTAGCAGTTTGTCTGAACGAGCGCAGGAAAGAGCGAGGACTCCCAGCTCACGGATGTCTCCTTCTGAGAGTGATGACCCAGATAGTTGGGGAAGCGGGTGGAGTTATAGGGCAGATTCATGCAGATCTCCAGAGAGATGGGCTCACAGCCACCTGACAAACACACACACACACATCTGTGTCAAATATTAACGTGTCTTTGATGTCTGTTTTTACAAGACATTAAAATCATCCAATCGCGTCACTTAACTCTTTCACTCCAAACACGGAATTTTCCGTTATTCATGAGACAACACTTACCGGCCAAACACGGAATTTTCCAGGTTTCCGTGTTCTCACTGTTATACGCTAGGGGGCGCTATCACGCATCTCCTGAATGAGTCTATCACTCGATCAAAAACACAGACCAGGAAGACGCAGAAACAAGCGATCTCATATGTAAGCATATGCATATGAAAAATAATGCAGCCAACACTAACCGCATATAAATGAAAACTGACTAATGTTAGCGAGTGAAATGTGGATCCAGAAAGGACTGTGAAGCTTTGGGAGTACTGATGGAAGCCATCTACTGCAGCTTTGCTTTGATAATATTACTGAATATGATCCAGATGCAGTATTTGATAAAAATTTGATTTTCTCAGCTTTTTGCTCAAAATGTTGCCTTTTTTATGAAACCTACCTACATTCAAGTGTTGATAAAAAAACAATGCTTGAAGCTAGAATAAAACTGATTGTTTTGTTTGAATGTAGAGGGTCTGATCTTTATTTGATGTATTGCATGTTCAGATATTGATACAGCAAAATATTCTGGGGGCCATGAAATTTGAGTGAAAATCAGCAAAAACGCTGGCGGTGGCTGGCAACTTTTTTCAAAATGCTGGCGGGGAGAGAGTTAAACGCAAGTGCTTTGCTATTTCACTGAACTAATTGTCACTAAATCTAAAGCAAATGATGGGAAACTCTGCAGCGCTCTGTATTTGGCCAGAGGTCAGAGGTCAGGGGTCAGTTGTTTGACTCACTGCAGTTGTTGACAGTGTTGCGCAGGTCACATGACGTGTTTCCATGACAGCCAGAGGAGCAGGAGGTTGAAGTACAACTGGACTGACCAGGAGGACACAAACCCAGAGCTGAGAGACAGAGAGAGAGCCATAAACAACAACTGACCGATCAGAGGAGTGTGTGTGAGAGTGTGTGTTTGTACTCACTCTGCTGTTGTGTGCAGTTTTCTTCATCACTGCCATCTTTACAGTCATCTTCACCATCACAGCGGAAGGCGCTTGGAATACACTGCTTGTTCCTGCACTCCACTAAACCCTGGGACTTACACGCTACACACACACACACACACACACACACACACACACATATTAACATATGTTTTATGCACATTAACACATTTCCTGCAGGAGTGTGAGTGAGTGAGTGTGTGTGTGTGCGCGCAGAGGCTCACAGCAGTTCAGCTCGTCACTTTTGTCCAGGCAGTCGTGATCTCCGTCACAGAGCCAGTCTCGAGGAATACAGCGTCCTTCTCCACAGTGATGCTCTTTAGTCGGGTCACACACTACAGCACCGCAAAGGCCACATTATTTCTGAATTATGTCTCAAATTAAATAAAACACAAGCAGAAATTCATTATGCTTTATTGTTGAGCAGAACTTTCTAGCCTGACGGTAAGTTCAGACCCAGCTGATCAGAGCAGCACAAAGCGTCTGCTCTCTTTACACTGTCTTCAACAAACCAGCACAGTGTTGGGGAAAGTTACTTTTAAAAGTAATGCATTACAATATTGCGTTACTCCCTAAAAAAGTTAATAATTATGTTACTTTTTATGGAAAGTAAAGCGTTGCATTATTTTTGAATTACTTTTAAAATCTGGGCGGGGCTTGCTTGTTTGTTTTTAATATAAAAAGTTCTTCTTTTACAAATGTAAAGCCCTTTCACACCAAAAGTGAATTGAATATGCCTCAGACTGAAGGAAATGTAAATTCACGTCTGTACAGTAGAGGGCACCGCTCAAACTAATCACATGAAGAATATGACGCAGGAGAAGAAAGTTCAACACTATTCAACAATAACACAAATCAAACACAAATGTGTAATTTTTGCTTAATATGGTTGATTTGGATCATCGAAGGTCAGTAGCAAAGACATTGGTTAATGAAATGGAATTAAATACATAAATGGTATTTGTCTTATTTAACATTTAATTATTGCAGGTTTGTATAATATTCTGAGTTTGCATTTGACTGTTTTTATTAATTCTGAGGAACACTGAATGTGTTTGTGTGCAGTGAGATGAGTAAACACATGTTGATATTTAGTCTAGAACTACAGTAAGATCATGTTCACACACAACACTCTGCACTGACTCCTGATTTCTGTCACCACGGCAACACCAGAGCTGTCACTCAACACATGGAAACAAAGTAACTGGAGTTACTTATTTGAAAAAGTAACTCAGATATTTCCTTCTAAATTAAAAAGTAATGCGTTACTTTACTAGTTACTTAAAATAAGTAATCTGATTACGTTACCCCCAACACTGAGCCAGCATGTGTGCTAACATGCTAACCCTAACCGCCCTCGATGATTTGATTTCAATTGCGAATCCAAGTGCCAGAACTCACCACAGTTTTGCTCATCGCTCAGATCTCCACAGTCATCGTAGCCGTCGCACAGCAGATCAGAACTGATGCAGCGACCGGTAGCACACAGATACTGAGCATCTGCACAAGCTGGACACACCACAGAAGCACAGGATCACAGTGAACCAAAGAGAAGAGAACGAATGATTCTTCAGTGCCTGGATGCAAACTGCGTTACTGTGTGTGAGCACAGGTGCCTCTCAATACTCAAACTGATGCATCTTCGTTTCCTCGCTCCTCCGTCCTCCAGCCGTGACCGGATATCCATCAAGCTCAGTCATCTTCTGTAATTGCTTCATGAGGAGGTGAGGAACGAGGAAGCTTTCAGATGAGCTGTGAGCGAGGATGCACAGTTTTTCTTCTCAAAAAAAATTGATATTGTATAATGCATACTTCTGTTTCATCGGTCATAATTGTAATGTGTTTTTTCCTTTGCAGTTTAAATAAACACCACATTTTAATTTATACTGCAAAAAATGATTTTCTTCCTTAGTATTTCTGTCTTGTTTTCTAGTATAAATATCTACAAATTCTTGAATCAGGAAGCATTTACTTGCCAATATTATGTCTTGCTTTCTGAAAATATTATCCAAATTTTGTTAGTTTTTGCTTAAAACAAGCAAAAATATCTGGCAATGGGTAAGAAAAATAATCTCGTTTAGCCTTTGAATTAAGATGATTTTTCTTACCCCATTGGCAGATATTTTTGCTTGTTTTAATACTAAGGAAGAAAATCATTTTTGCAGTGATATGAATAACCAAACCTCACTGGCATAAGAGCAGATCCCTTGAGAGCAGCTGATGGCGCTCTGAAGTGACGCTCGAGAGATCAAGAAAAATGTAACGTACAAATCCATCGGCTTTCTGTCTGCATTTTCTTTCCTTGCATCATTTTCTCATATCTGATGGGGCTGGATCTGATGCACAGCTAGGGAATGAGAAACACACACTTACTGCAGTCGGCCTCGTCGCTCCAGTCGTCGCAGTCGTTGAATCCGTTGCACACTAGTTTCAGGGGGACGCATATTCCGGTCGCACACAGGAAGTGATCGCTTCCTCCGCACGCAGCTGAAGACAGAATCCCAAAAACACAACAGTCAGAACGTGGCCGCTCCAGACGTGATTCCAGTACTGGACGAGCACTCACAGAGCTTTCCTCTGGCGTGTCGCGGCGTGTAGCAGAGCGGCGTGTTTTCAGCGTGCGTTCCCGTGTTGTTGGTGAACTGAGAGCAGCGCAGGAACTCCGGCCAGGACGCGTTAAACATCTGCAGCACGGGCTCACAGCCCTCACGAGCCGCTTCACAGAACGACCGACAGGGCAGAACCAGAGTCCTGCGGCAGAAACACACCAGCGCTACACGTGGGTCATTTTCACCCAGAGAGCATTTTCATTTTCCCATGAAATGCTACGTAATGTTATCGCATTGGAATAACACTTACTGACAGGGTATGACAACAACTTCCCCCAAAAATTGATTATTTTTGTTTTTTGTTAGGATTCCCCCCCACCGTGTTACACTTGTGGGTTTCCCATTCAAAAACGAGCTGCCCTTTAAAAATGACTTTTAAATCTCTCATTATGCTATATTATTGCCAAATATTGCATTCAGTCTTTTCATGGACTTGTTTTCTTTCGGTTAGCACAGGTTTTGTTTTCTTTTTGGAGCTGATTGATTGTAGGCCTCGTTGATCTGAGCCTCAGTTTTGGAGTGAACATTGACAAAATTATCCACAAAATATGCTTTTTTTTTTTTACTCTACAGCTGAGGTGCATAAGCTCAGATCAATGAGGCCTATAATCACTCAAATACTAATTGAAACTGAAGGACAACCAGTTGACAAAAAGATTGAATCCAATATTTGGTGATATTATAATGTGTAATGTATAATGAGCAGTTTTTAAAAGGCCAGGTTTAGTGTTATTTTTGACCAGGAACACTAAATGAGGTAAAGGATTTTCAGCACAGCACAAGAGTTAATGCATTGTTCTTTTTTAATTTTTTTATTTTCAATAAGAACATAAACTGCTGTCAGTGCTGGGTAGCAATTGATTGCATGTAATCTGAATTACGCAATCAGATTTCAAAAATTAGTACTTATACATGTTAAAGGGCCCATAATCAGATTACAGTTACTTTTTATAGATTACATATAATTTACACAATGTCAGTATATTATTCATAATGATTGACTGAATTTTTCTTCTCTCTTAAATTTAAAGTCTTCCAGTTTTACAGAACTGCACACACTAGCCACTAGTCAGGAGACTATAATTACACAGAAAACAGAAAGGCCACATAATTAGTTTATTTTGACATTATTAGCTTTTCATCATCTCATGAAGCCCAGTTTGGGAAACCTTGGCATAATGTTAAATGCACTTCATGATGTTGATAACAAAGAACAGAAAATATTTTGTCACGAGTTAGGTCAAAGTAATCTACTCTGAATACTTTACATAATAAATGTAATCCAACAGATTATGTTACTAATTACAATTTCCATAATGTAATCTGTAATCAGTAATGGACTACAGTTTGTAAGTGATCTACCCAGCACTGACTGCTGCTCACTTTCATCATCTGTATTCCTGCTCATTGATGCCAAAGCATCTGCTAAATGAGCGTGTATGTGAGGGGACAGTGAGGTTCAGAAATGTACACCGAAACCCTGGGATTTTTCTTTTGAACCTGGAAATAAAATGTTTTAATTCAACTTCCGTCAGTTTTGGGCTGGTTATTCTTGTATTTCCAGTGAAAACAAGTCACTGTCATACATACACCGTTAGGTTATAGAGGATTCTGTGCTTCTGACTTTCAGGACAGCACATTTACATGTGCATCAATACGCTGATAACTACCAAAAATGTGACCCTGGAGCACAAAACCAGTCATAAGGGTCAATTTTTCGAAATTGAGATTTATGCATAATCTGAAAGCTGAATAAATAATCGTTCCATTGATGTATGGTTTGTTAGGATAGGACAATATTTGGCTGAGATACAACTATTTGAAAATCTGGAATCTGAGGGTGCAAAAAAATCTAAATACTTAACACTGCTTTTGTGCTGCAGGGTCACAAATCAGTTTACTGAAATAACCTGATTTGCCAGTTTACATGCAAATCAATAACCTGGCAATGAAGCGCACTGAAGCTGAACACGAGACAGAGAGTGATGGGTGTCACAGACCTGCGGTCTCTGTGGCTGATGCATTGTGGGAGTGCGATGGAGCATCCGAACAGCATGATGTGTCTGTAGCAGGACAGTTGACTCAGGTAGCTGAAGAACTTGAGGAACATCTGCAGCTCGCTGCTCTTGACAAGTTCAGAAGAACAGCATTTATCTGAAATATAATTTTTTTTTGTAAAATTATTATTTTTTAAATTATTTTTTTTGTCACTTTTGATCAATTTAAAGCATCCTTGCTAAATAAAAGTTTTCTTTTCTATAATTTCTCAAAAAAATACAAATAAAATAAAAATACTGACTCCAAGCTTTTGAATGTTATGGTGTATAATGTTACAAAAGCTTTTTATTTCATATGAATGCTGATCTCTTTTCTACACTAATGGCGTGCAGCTGCGCACACACATTAGGATAGGTTAGATGCCTGCCTCCGCTGCGAGTCACTATCAAGCACTTTACTGATTCAACTACTCTCTTCTTCTCCTCCTGCCTGGCTCTTTGGCCCGCATCACTCACCGCAGAGCAAGCCTGTTCTTGATAAAGCTGCTGTGAAAACGTGGGAAAAGCCGACGAGGAAGAAGTTGGGGTGAAGCGATCTTTATATAGGCGGAGCAAAATACTTCATCGCTCCGTCTATAGCGCATTGTGATTGGATGGTTTACGCTGTCAATACAGGAGACAAACCAATGGGCCACTGGCTGCTCGCTGTCCCTGCGTGATGGTTTTCGACAAAAAAACATTCTGTCGGCCCCTTAAGTGCGTCGGCCCACCGGGAAAATGCCCGGTATGCCCGATTACCAATCCAGCCCTGGGTGTGTGTATGTGTCTGTTTGTGCGTGAGTCTGTGTGTGAGTCTGTGTTTGTGTGTGTGTGTGTGTATGTAAGTGATTCTTTGTGTGCGTGTGTGAGTGATTCTGTGTGTGTGTGTGTGTGTGTGTATGCTCTCTAAGAGAGTCTGATTGTAATTGTGATTCTAGTGCTTAAGTCAAAGTCAGAAAGACGAGAGGAACAGCCTTCACACACACAAACACACACACACACACACACACACACACACACACACACACACACACTCACAGACCTCAGGAAAGATGATTAATCATTAGGCTGTTTGGAGGAGACAGAGACAAATAAAAGCATACGGCACACCCTCTGTTGAGGTCATCACAAGAGGACACACACAGATGACTTTCAGGACAGAACCTTCACTGAGGACACTGAAACACGCCGTCTCACACACAAATGGACAGAGAGAGAGACAGGAGAAAAATCTGTGCTGAAATTAGATTAGCAGCTGGTCTGCAGAGGACAAAAGCAGCGAGATGTTTGACATAAAAGGGCTAAAGAGAGAGAGACAAGCATACAGCAGATGATAAAATATGAGGCGAAGCATGTGACATTTAAAGGGATCGTTCACTTTTTTTCTTCAGATTAACACATTTTTTAGAAAAATAATCTGTGTTCGTGAGTACATAAAACACAAGTCCCAATGTTGACGCTCCACAAAACAACCAGCCACGTGACGGCAGTCAACACTCACTTCATTTTCATTAATTTAGTAGAAAACAAGACTTCATATCTTCATTTTGCATCTCCAGTAAATATATCTTGATTTAAGAATCTTTAGATATTTGCACTGGAAAACAAGACACTGAGATATTCTTTTTTTTTTTTTTTGCAATGCATGCAACATTTAATGACTTTATGAATGTAAGACTTTCTGCTCTGATTTGAGACTTTTTAAGGGCTTAATTTGTGCGAAGGTAAATTAAGGCTTTTTAAGACCTGCAGAAACCCTGCATTTGAGACTTGCAATAAATGGACTCACAGAGAGAAAAAAAACATTGTGTTCATCTGAAGAAAGAAGGTCATATACAACAGGGATGACGAGAGAATATCTGGTCATTTTTGGATTGTTTTAAGCCACACATGCAAACACATGCTCTTCATGACCGTACCAGCGTCTGTGCTCACGCTCGTCACAGTGGAGACAGATGTCCCCCAGTCCACAGGGGCCGTGGCGGTGGGGCCCGCCAGTGAGGATGAAGAGGAGGTGTCGGCGCGAGGCATCCAGTGTGCCGAGTCCCACTGCGGAAGGGTGTTTGTCAGGATGACCCGCGGCGACATCGTCTCGTTATCGGCCATCATCGGCCCGGCGTCTGTGCTGTTAAAGGGCCCGGCGGTCGCTACGGAAACAGAAGATCCGGCATCCAGCAGGCCATTCCCGAATAAACCTGGACAAAGACGGAAAACCAGATTCGATAAAAGAAACAGCAGTGGAAGAGTTTAAATACAAAAACAGCAACAGCTGAAGTAGTGAGGATATTTATACATTCTGCACCATAAAGGTTCTTTAATGGCCCTGATGGTTCCATGAAGTACCTTTAACATCCGTAGTGGAAAAGGGTTCTTTAGATTCTTCACACTAAGAAAAAATGGTTATTTTAAGAAATGATCACTGAAAGGTTCTTTGGGGAACCAAGAATGGCTCTTCTATGGCCTCAGTGTGAAAACACCCTTTTGGAAGCTTTATTTTTAAGAGTGTATTATTTTGCAGCGACGTGACCAATACTAGCTGCTTCACAAAGGAAATTTCAGCCAAGACAAACGCACCATAATAAACAAACTATAATCAACAGTGGGTCATTTCCGCAAATTAGGCCAGATTGTTTTCATGCCAGCAGTGAACTAGACCCTGGTTTGGAAAGATTTCACAGCAAGCAAGCATGAGAATCATAATGACGAACAGACACCTTTAAAGGTCTCTTTAATCCAAAAATGAAATTGTGTCTAATTTACTCCATCTCGTTCAAACCTGCGTGACTTTCTTTAATCTGTGAAACAAAAAAATGTTTTAAAGAACGTTGGGAACCAAACAACATTGGACTCCACTGACTTTCATTGTATGGACAAAAAAAGAGCCATTTACAGACATTTATTAAAATATCTTCTTTTGTGTTCCACAGAAGAAAGTCATTCACACAGGTCTGAGCGATGTGAGGTGAGTAAATGATTGTTAAACGACGCCTTTGACTGTTAACAGGACAGAATACTGAAACGCAGTCAGACAAGAGAGGAACAGGGTGGAGACAGAATGGAGTCTTAGGAGGGGAGAGGAGTCTAGATAACATCACATCCGTCTCTTTAGTGCACTTTTGACTGCTTCTGTCCTGATTTCTGTGAGGGGAGGGTCTGTGGACGGGTGTATGTATGGGCTTTTTCTGATCTTACTAGGGTTGGGAATCAAAAATCAATTCCAAATCCAGAATCAGATACTGAAGGAATCGAATGCGTGTAGTAAAATAAAAAATTTATTTCACCTATCAATTCCTGTGTGTGCACCTTTTTTTTTAGTTGGCGAAAATGAGCTGTTAAAAATGTATTTGTCTATGAATCATTCATTCAAGAGATTCATTCAAATACACTGATTCATCCAGTAATGAAACAAGTAAATCTTTTGTGAGTCATTGAATCATTCCATTCATACATTCCATCAGATTTTGTTTAGTTGTCTAATATTCTTTTATCCAGAATCGCGCGGCTCTATTTTGCTCACAAACAGCTCTTAATCGAGTCCAGTTTTTATGCAGCCGACTGATTTTTGTTCTTGGTATTCAGCAGCAATTAAATGTTTTGCAAAAAAGAGACAAAGAATATGGGATAAATTAGGTTCGCTTCCTGTTCCTGTCTGCCGTGCTGCTGAGTGAGTTTGTAGCACCGTGTAGCTTTGTTTATCTGTTGAAATCTCTCTTACTATCACTCGCTGTTGTTTAAATCACTAAAATATAATTGAATTCTCACCATATTTCTGATTTGATCACCAAACTAGTTTGACATCATCCACCTTTAATCTTTTAATCTAAACCGTGAGCGCTGCGCGTTGCAGTGCGTTAGCATTCCATTAGCCTATTAGCTTGTCAATCGCATCTCCATTCGTGTTTTCTACCGCTCCTTTTTCTCTCTGTCTCTATTCTCTCTTGTTCCGTTTTTTCACAAGTTCATCAAACAACTGTGGTAAGTAAGAATCATTCATCAATCACGGTGAGTAATGGCTTCTTCTCCTGCTATTGTTGTTTGCACCGCTTGCCACATGTATAGTTTATCTCTCTCTGTCGGCGACGAGGGATTCACATGTGATAAATGCAGGGAAATAGTTAGGCTGACAGAGAAGATTTCAGAATTAGAGACACGCATCCAAACTTTAATTGAGGACAGTAAGAATGTGAGGGCTCTAGATACGGCTTTGGATGTGACTAGCTCAGGGAGTCCTGTACATTGTTCGGTTCCGGTAACAGAGCCTCCGCAGCAGGGCGATTGGGTGACTGTGAGGCGGCATAGTCGCGGCTCAAAACACCGGTCTTCTGTTCTGAATCCATGTTGATAATGAAAAAGATGCATTGGGATCAGCATTCATAGACATTTTGAACTCTATTGGGGTTAGACAACACATCTCAGGTCCTACTCATTGTTGAAATCATACTCTAGATTTAATACTGTCACATGGAATTGATGTTGATGGTGTTGAAATTCTGCAGCCAAGCGATGATATCTCAGATCGTTATCTAGCTTCGTGTATATTCCTTATAGCTAAAACTGTAAATTCTACTCCTTGTTACAAATATGGTAGAACTATCACTTCTACCACAAAAGACTATGGACTCTCTCTTTTCTAGCACTTTAGATACGGTTGCTCCTTTACGCTTAAAGAAGATTAAGGAAAACAGTATACCAGGAAGTGTGACCATATTAGCCCGGTTCTGTCAACACTGCTCTGGCTCCAAAGTTCAAATGATTTGCAACGGTCGCTCTGTCGTGTCCAGTGTAGACACGGTGTCTGTGTGTGAGCAAAGAAAACGATCAGTATACTAAACCTCGCACATCCTGTGATGTGACTATCGCGGATACACGCATTGCGATATTGATGCTGAAACGATATATCGTGCATCCCTACTACGGAGCAGATGGAAGGCAGCTGAAGAAAAGCACAGGGAGCTGCAGGTGAGCATCACCTGTGCCGCCGATTCCCGCCTCATCATACCAAACACCTGCATCTCTGCCCTTCTCTCTGCTCTGTATGAAAGGCTCGTGCTGTGTTCAGGACAGAGAGAAGGAGATGACTGTGACGGTGCAAAAACAGGCTCGGTGACACAGCAGGACGACCGGACAGAACGGGTGTCTCGCTTTCACAGCTCTGATCACGTCTCACCAAACAGACCTTCTAGCCAATAAACAAAGAGTAGCAGAGAGACAGAGAGAGAGAGAGGACGACGGCAGGATAATACTGGGAGGAGATGTTATCAGCATGCACGTCTGTCCAGACGCTGACCTTTTGACCTTGGAAGCATCAAATGCTTTCTTTGAGCTTTTATGAGGAGCAAACAGACAGAGAGGAGGAGATGCATCTGAACCAATACACACACACTCATTCAATCACACACACACGCATACAAGACAAACAGATAAATCACACACACACACACACACACACACACACATACAGGACAAACAGATACAGCTCTCTCTCTCTCTCACACACACACACACACACACACACACACAGGACAAACATCTCACACACACACACACACTTAAGCTAAGTTCACACTACAGGACTTTAAACGTTGGCAGATCGGTGTGCTGTTCAGACTACATGACTTGATTGTCTGTTTTGAAGTCGTTGTGGTGTTCACACTACGCAACACTATGTAAATGATCCGCAACAGGGGGTCACACACTACACGAGCTGACAACATCTCTGTCACCCAACGACTCCATCCCGTCCCCAAACCACGCTTTGTCATGATAACACACACGAGAAGTTGAACGGGAATGACACGAAACAACAAGTGAAACAGGAGTTGTTTATTTTAAAATGAACATTGGGAAGAAATTAGTGCTGCAACCTGTTTGCGTGATGAAAAAATTCGCTCCATTTCTTGGGTCCAAACTTTTCTTAAAGCCGTGTTGCTGCTGCTGTTTTTCTTCCGGTGACCTCAACCCATGCCTTGCTCTCTTATTGGCTGTAGCTCATCACGACACCTGACACCACGTGATGTCAAGTCGGCCGACCGGTCCAGATATTTAGCATGCTAGATATTTGTTTGCTGTCTGCGAGGCGTCAGCGAGCCTCTTTGATGCATCGTTGAGTTGTTCACACATAAAGATTACCGAGCACTGATCACCCGCTGATTTTCCCCCGATCACAGCCCAACCTGTCGGCGAGCTCGTTAACTTACAAATCGGGCTTAAAATCCTGTAGTGTGAACTTGGCATAACTCATGTTTGTTTGACTGTATTAATGAGCTCATCTCATAGACTTGCACTGAAACATTTATAAGCCTTTAGTGAGGTCTGGCTCACTAGTATGTTTAACTATTACTGAGGACATTCTGGACCTCAGAAGTGTAGTCAGACCTTTAGAAATGCATAACAGACTGAACAAACGTGTGTTTCATCGCTGCAGATTTCTCTTTTTCAGAGACGACAGTGAACATCATGTTGTGACAGGGACGCGGGAAGTAGGGGTGCTGAGGGGGCTGCAGCACCCTCTGTTTTCACATGGTTGCAAATGCAACGCAAAGTTAGGACTTATCATTCAGCACATATTAATAACAACAACTAATATCAATGTCAATCATAATATATAAATGTTGCTTTAACGACAGTCATAGCATTAATGAATATAAAGGCCATTTCAGAAATGAGACTGTGAACTTTGATCTCACCGGTAACGGGCTGGAGATCAGCTCGCGCTGTGACGCTCCTCCGGTAACGGCAGCAGATCAGCGGCGCTCCGGACAATCAGAGCAGAGAAACCGAGGCTATTTTTACCCAGGTATTTTTCGCTTCAGAGTTTCCAGCTTGTGCAGGAGAATCCGACACACACACAAACCAGTGTGTTATTTATAGGAACGGAAAGGAAAGAGAGAAACTGAAGTGCACACACACACACGCGCGCGCACACACACACACGCCGATTCCATCGCAAAAACACACTCTCCCTCTCTATTCTATTTTATTAACTCAGAGTTCGTTTGTTTTGTCCTCACGTTTCGGTCTGTCTGAGCACGAGCGAGTCCGGCGCGAGCATTTATATCTCCACCAGACAACCGAGAGAGAGAGAGAGAGAGAGAGAGAGAGAGAGAGAGAGAGAGAGAGAGAGTGTGAGTGTGAGAGAGAGAAAGAGAGAGAGAGAGAGAGAGTGTGTGTGTGTGTGTGTGTGAGAGAGAGAGAGAGTGTAGAGAGAGAGAGAGAGAGAGAGAGAGAGAGAGAGAGAGAGAGAGAGAGAGAGAGAGAGAGAGAGAGAGAGAGAGAGAGAGAGAGAGAGAGAGAGAGAGAGAGAGAGAGAGAGAGAGAGAGAGAGAGAGAGAGAGAGAGAGAGAGAGAGAGAGAGAGAGAGAGAGAGAGAGAGAGAGAGAGAGAGAGAGAGAGAGAGAGAGAGAGCCTGGGAGTGACAGACTCAGCGGCACTTCCTCACAGAATGCCCAAAATATCAAAACATTAGAGACGACCATTACCCCAAAATTAATCATATATTTCCCAAATTTAACATTTGTAGCCCAACCGAAAAACCGAAAAAGCCAAATGTGTAAAATGTGCAAATGTGCGAAGAAATACAGAGCTGAGTATCATCAGCATAACAGTGAAAGCTAACACTGTGTTTCCTGATGATATCTCCCAAGGGTAACATGTAAAGTGTGAAAAGTAACGGTCCTAGTACTGAGCCTTGAGGTAGAGACCTGCACTGCCGCGGGAGTACCGCGGGACCCAACGCAACAGGGTACGGCGCGGGACAACTCTTGATCGGGCGGGGGTGCGGGCGGGAAGAGATCGTGTGTGTGCGGGATGCGGGAGAATAAAATGATTTGCGGGATTCCCGCAAAATAGAAATTATCTAAACATAAAGTGTCTAAAACATATAAATTATTATTTATCTGTTGCGCAAAAAGAGCAGCTAATAACATTAAAATGATTGACATGCGCAAGCTAAGCATAGTTTCTATTTATAACACGTGTTTAAAGGGTTGCAATGTAGCCAATCACAGACTCAGCTGTTGATTTCTGGAACGCAATGGCCAATCAGAGGTGATTAAGTTAGAATCCACTCACCGCAGTGCTGAAATTGCGTGCTCATGAATCGTCTGTGTAGACATTGTGAAAGATTCATTGTGCATATATTTATTGTGTTATAACAGAGCTTTATGAGATTGCGGTTAACTGAGATGGCAAAGTGATTATATTTCGTTTCGTTTTTTTATTAAGTTAATTTAGAAAAACGTTTAGAGAATTTTTTGTTCCTTAAATATAAGTTTTTGTTTTTAAAGTAACAACCAAGCGGCCAGCGGCAGACAGTGAGCTGATCATAGCCTATTTTTGATCAATTTAGCCTTCTCAAATCATCACGACTTGCCTAAAATAAAATCTATAGATATAAAACAGTTCAAGCATATAACAATGTTTAACCGTTAAACCTAGATAAATGAGCGCTATATCCAATAGTTTGTGCGGAGACGCTCTGCAGGACATAGAGGCGCCAGCGCGATCACTTGTGTTTTTTTCAGTGGATACGCCGTCATTTTTGCTCATAAATGTAAGAGTAATACACCATTCGTAACTGTAAAGGGTCTACTTTTATTTGTGTGCACTCACAATATCAACAAAACGTTGTGCTTTTATAAAATAAAGAAAACAAACACGATGCGCTTTCTGCCGTCTCGGTCTTCAACAGGAGCGCTTACAAAAATGAACTGAAACTCAGCGAATACATGTCTCAGACATGATTCATATATCTATAGAAGGCTTTAAATTACTACTTAACGAAATAAAACAAATCAAAAACAAAAACTCTTTCATTATGATCATAATCCGTAAAGATGCACTTCTCTCTAGAGGCGCTAATGAAGAGATGGCGAGTCAGGATCGACAACTTCATCCTTGCGACACCGACTCAGAAAACACTAGTTTATTAGTAAATAATTCAAATATCTCCTTACTGTTTCCCCCGGACAGATCTCTTCAGCTGCACCGATGGCACGCACCATACATACTGCTGCTGTGGGACACTAAACACTGTCGAGCCGCTCTTACAGTTGCAGCAGCACGGTCTCGTGTTGTTTCCACCAGCGAGGCAATTTTTTCATCACTAATTGATGGATATCTAAAATATAAAAATAAGGAGAAGCCTAAAACAGGCCCGAGGCCCGGCCCGTGTTTGAACTATGACGTGAAAATTGACCCGAAAAAGTCGGGGCCCATCGGGCCTGCACTGAAATGCTGTCCCCCCACCCGGGGGCCCAAGTTAATATGCTGTCCAGGGGGCCCAGAAACCGTAGCGGCGCCCCTGGTCGATAGTGTCAAACGGAGCGTTAAGATCCAATAGCACTAATAGAGAGATACAACCACGATCAGATGATAAGAGCAGGTCATTTGTAACTCTAATGAGAGCAGTCTCAGTACTATGATACGGTCTAAATCCTGACTGGAAATCCTCACAGATACCATTTTTCTCTAAGAAGGAACATAATTGTGAGGATACTACCTTTTCTAGTATCTTTGACAGAAAAGGGAGATTCGAGATTGGTCTGTAATTAACTAGTTCTTTGGGGTCAAGTTGTGGTTTTTTGATGAGAGGCTTAATAACAGCCAGTTTGAAGGTTTTGGGGACATATCCTAATGACAATGATGAATTAATAATAGCCAGAAGAGGATCTATGACTTCTGAAAGCTTAGATGGAATAGGGTCTAACATACATGTTGTTGGTTTACAGGTGCATCTCAATAAATTAGAATGTCGTAGAAAAGTTCATTTATTTCAGTAATTCAACTCAAATTGTGAAACTCGTGTATTAAATAAATTCATGTATTGAATAAATACCTGGGGTTGTGTTTGTTTTCTTCTAAAAGAAAACAAATATGTGTATACACTTAGGTCCAAATATATTTGGACACAGGCACAATTTTTATTATTTTATTTATTCTTTATTACTTAATGTTTATTCTGCTGACCAAAACATATTCAAGTTACAGTTATATAATGAATATGGGCTTAAAGTGCACACTCTTTAATTTGAGGGTATTCTCATCAAAATTGGAGGAAAGGTTAAGGAATTACAGCTCTTTAATATGTACCTCCCATCTTTTTCAAAGGACCATAAGTAATTTACATTTACATTTAGTCATTTTGCAGACGCTTTTATCCAAAGCGACTTACAATTGGGAATACATAAAGCGATCCTTCTTAAAGAGGCAGACACAGGAACTGCTCGTCATACCAAGTTTCAGGCATTGTTCAAATAAGTACAAGCTGGACAGGGAAGGAATAAATAAAGAGAAAGACAAAGTTTTTAAAATTTAGGATGAAGTCAAGTAGCATCGATAGAGATGAGTTTTCAGCTGTTGAAGATGGTCAGGGATTCAGCATTCCGGATAGGGGTGGGAAGATCATTCCAGCAGCCTGGAACAGTGAACGAGGCTGCCTGGCGGACATCTCGGCATGGATGAAAGAACATCACCTACAGCTCAACCTGGCAAAGACTGAGCTTC